GATTAATGCATATTTATATAAATGCCTATATATGTATACACATATAGCCATAATATATCAGCATTATTATCGCCCACTTTCGATTAAGTTTAGCCACGACAAATTCGTTATCTAATCAGACATCGGAGGAAGCGTTTTTCGGTTTGCATTTAACGAAGCTGATTCCCCATATTTGACAGAAATCTAATTAGAAATTGGGAATATCAGAATTGAGAATGATGCTTCATGCTATATCATGCTTCATTCTAATCATCTGATGAGATCTAAGAGTAAAAGTCATTAAAATCTTGATCTCAATTTTACGGCTTGGCTTTTGCAAGTTAGAGAACCTATATAGTCTATACGTTTTGGAATGTTTTTTAAATAAGTTAGGGATTTAAGTTTTTTTTGAGTTCAAGGATATACTGAAATAAATTGTAAATAAAGTATGATGCATACATATAAATAAATTCACAAATATAAAAAACATATAAAAAACATTTAGCTAACTGCCTAATACTCGCTCACGCTTCAGGCTTGATATACTAGAGATGGCTTTCATAAAAAAGCTCATCGTCTACATTATGTATAAAACTAATATACTCGCTTTACGCTCTTTGAACAAATGTTAAACTAAAGAAATAAGTTTAGTTTCATTGGGTCTGGCCCAAGATGAGACGACTGGGTAAAGCAATCTATAAAACGAATATACTTTCATTGGGACATCCGTGAACGAGCATATAAATCAAAAAGAACTTCAGTTTCAATGGCTTTTAGCCAAACGAAGGAAAAACTGTTCATAAAAAATACTACAAGGGAAGCAAACAAACAAACAATGAAAGCAACAAGTAGAAGCATAAGTAGAGAAGGAGAGAGCGAGAGAGAGACAGCGACAGAGAGGTAGGGAAAGAGAGAGAATAATATGCTAAAGTACTTTGCAATAATGAAAAATCAACAATCGTCACATCAACAAACCAAAGCAAACAACAACAACAAAAATGTCAAATTAGAAGAAGAAGAAGCAGCAACCGATGAAGAAGAAGTAGATGAATCTGATGAATAATGAGAGTGATAATTGAAAAATGGAGAAATTGAGAACGCAAACATTTGCGAATCTATCAAATAAACTGGGCGAAACAACATTTTGCTGCAGCTTCAGCTATATGCCTTATGCCCTATCTTGCCCCTATCTGGGCCCGCCCCTCCCCCTTTCATGCTATCTAACGTTTTCAGTCTAATGCCATTCATTATGCAGCGGCTCGCACACGTAAAGCACTCTACGGCCCAATAAAAAACGTTCCATACATAGTTGAAGGACAGCAAAACGAACAAATACCAACAAAAAATACCAACAAAATAAGTTGTATGCAAAGAGTGAAAACAAGCCATGGAATCTCATTTCATAGCCTATTTTTTCCCCCGTCGCTTTATTTCACTCAGCCGCAGCAATTACTCGGGGATTAGGCAACTTTAAGTGTTCGTTCCGCAAATCCCATTTGCCCACAGATTTCCGCTTCAGGTGCGGTTGCTTTACAGTTCATATTGCGAATTGATGAGGGGAATTAACATATTGGAAATCAAATTGAAGCGAGTGTTATTTATGCTTAGTCTATTTGAAAAGAGTTTGCGTTTTCTACTGGAGCTCAGTTTTCCACTGTTATCGCATGAACTAGTTCGCGTTTTTTGAGTAAGTCAATAGGATGAATTAGTTCATAATTAGTTGAAATAGTTCACATTGATGAACTAGTTCACACTGATGAACTAGTTCACATTGATATACTTTAATCTGTGGAGCTACTAAAATTGTACCTGCTAGTTCATATTGATAAACTAGTTCACTTTTATAAACTACGACAGTTCGATAAACTAATTAATTTCGATAATCTAGTTCACTTTAATAAGCTAGTTCACCTCGACAAACTAATGTTTAATTTGATGAACCAGTTCAATTGAACGCACTATCTGAGCAGAAAATCAGAGAGTTGACTTGCCTAAGCTTTGGACTTCATTTTCATTAGAAAGTGGAAAACGAATATTATTTGTTTATTCTGCTCGAATCCTCTTGAAAGGTCAAAGGAGCCCCCAAGGACTTGGCTGCCACTTGAGGTTGGGCACTCGAAGGAAATAAGTAAGATTGCTATGCAACGCAGTAACCAGCCTGTGGATACCCTCAACAGATCCTGTCGAGACTCTAGAAACTGGGAGATATATTTGACGAGGTGCATATATTAGGAAAGAACACATAACCTTAATAGGGAGAAAATATATGTCTTATACATTAGCAGACTGATGGAATTAGATCAAGGAGCTGAGTTGGCTCAGCTAGCTCAGGGCCACGCCCCCAGGCTACCTTTAATATACAAATTACTCGTAGCCCTTTGTCATCGATTAGCCAGAGTGTAGCTACTCCACATGATAATCAAATTTAACTGCTACACACCCGCATTTATCTATCTCTTTTCCTATCTAGGGCCGTCCAAAATGGTTCTTATCTAGAGGCGGAAACATTTGTTCGACTTGCCCATTGTTGTTGGAGCTGTGTTTACAATGGTAAGCACTCACAATTATTTTGGATTGTACGCGTATTAGGACATGCCAAGTCAAGTGAATAACGATATCGAATACCCTGCATACATTATTTCCCAGGGGGCTATGCACGACATACACTGTAATCAAATGAAGCAAGCCAAAGCTATTTTGCAGCTACTAGCAGATCGAATAGTTATTCGAATAGTCTCAAGTCTTCTTCTAGTCTAGTAACAATTAGAATTGATCGATTTTTGTTTCTCCTTCGGCCATACATCTGATCCATAAAAGCTAGAGACCCAAAGTGTTCTTCATTTACCAAAGGATACTAAAAGGCGCATTGCAGTTGATAAGACTCTACAAGCACGTACATTCATTTTCCAGGGTATTTAAGCACTTTACGGTTCAGCTCGGTTGTTAGTCATATTTGACAAGAATTTTGAGCAATGCAGCAATTATTTTGCCATGGAGGAGTTTTCTCAATTGTTGCAATGCAACAACACGACGAGCTATTGATTCATTTTCTGCTATACATAACACACACCCACACGCACATACACACGCAGTGTAGACAGGTGTGTTTGACAGGTGTTTGGTCTTTGGCTCTTTGGATTTGGATTTCATAGCTTTAAATGCCAAAAGGAGCGGTCAAACAAATCTTTTGTCTGGCATATCCACAACAGGAAAGAACAAGACTGAGAAAGTAAATAAAGAAAATAGAGAGAGAGAGAGAGACTTAGATAAGTAGGGTATTGTAGAAATTCGAAGCTGAATTGACGGTCTATTGAAAAATTTCGAAATGTCTACGAAATGTGAGCTGAATTTAATTACCATAAAGTTAGGGAAGCAAGGCAAGGAGAGAAACGGAGACAAACAGGGCGAGTCGCATAAGGAGTCCCAGAAAAAGATGGATAGGGACATGGAAGGATAAAGAAATGGGACAAACTGGGATATCGGGACTCAGAAGGAGACAGAATAAACGTTAGGCTAGAGAAAGAGGTGAGAGTGGAATGGTAAGATAAAGAAAGAGATAGAGAGAGAGAGAGAGAGAGAGAGAGAGAAAAAGAGAATGAGGATGAAGAGAAAGAAAGAGCTTGAAAAAGAAGTCGTCTCTTTGAAGGAAAAAATACCCAATGATAGAAAGAGAGAGCATAATTGGGAAACATAATTTTGCGATTCAAGAGAGACAAAAGAGAAGAGGAGCAAATAAGCAACCTATATAGAAAAACATCCCGACCAGTTGATGACTGATGACTAGATACCCTGTAGCGAAACCCTGTTAAACGAAACTTCAATTAGACTTTCGCGAAAAACAATTTGTACTTAAGCTGCGTAATCTGTGAGCCCCATACATCTATGTGTATGTGTATATAGATGTATGGCTGAACAGGTAGTTGAGTTAATGGGTGGCTGGGTGGTTGGTTGAATATAACTACAGTTGTTCTGCTTTGTTCGTCCTTCGGTTTGATTACTAATGCGCATTAAGATCTTGAAAATAATGCGAATGGGCATGAGAATGAGGAAGCTCGCAAATAAAAACGTTCACACTCAGCATGTTCTCGGCTTGGCTGTGAAGTGGACATGAAATGTGGCAATACACTGTTCACCAGCTCTGAATTGAGGCATATTGGTTTCGAATTGTCAGCTTTGCAGTGAAGCTCATCTGGTTAGCCCTGTGAACAGCGTATTACGTATTTTGATAGTAGCGATTCACTTGTATGTGTGCACATAAACACATAAATTAATACTTAACGACAGTATAACAGTATGATACGATTGATTGGTGTGAATGTACATAAACACATTAAGAAATACTGATGAGTATGACAATATAATAGCAAGATTTGGTTGACTTGTATAAGTGTATACAAATACATCGAAAATCAGTAGTAAAGTAGTATAACAGTTTATCAGTTGTAGCTTAATGGTGTAACAAAATGTATATGTATTTAACAGTTATATCGAGAAGTATTTTATAGTATGACAGTATAACAGAATATATATCAATAATAGCTGAATTATTGTTATCCTGTTATATAATTAGCTATAGCAACACAACATTGTACAATATACAGCTACATCGAAATCTATAGAAAAGTATTACAGTAATGCAATACAGCTAGAAGTTGGTCTAGAAGTCGCTTGAGTAAGAAATACTCTATACTCAGTTGCAATATAACCGTATAACAGTACACATATATAAGTTACTGCAAGAAATACTTCATGCTGTAAGCTATAGCATGAAATGTGTAATATAGTCCTTTATACATATAACGGTGACAGCAAGAAATATAATATAGCTTAATAGTATAACAGAAGACCCGTAAATATATGTACACATCAGATACATCAGTTACTCCACAAAATAGCATCAGTATAACAGTATACTATTAATCCACACAGAAACAAAAATTAAATACTTAATAATATAACAGTAACAAACAAACTGAAATAACTAAATATAATAGAATTATGTTGGCGACGGAAGCACTCACCTGTTTAAGTTCTCAGCTTAGCTGCACCGGTAAATTGAAGAAATACCACCTGAATTAAACGTCTTGGAAATGCGAAATGGAAGCCGCTCAGATAGACATGATTAGTGTTATGTTGATGATGATCATGAATGATATCACTAATATATTTATGTATGTATATATAGATACAAGTCAATATATTAAAAGTTCAGTACGCGAGCTAAAACTGTTGAATGTTTTTTGATTTTGTTTCATTAAAATTTTGATTTGATTAATCGAAATTTGTATTATATTTTGTTGCTTTAGTTTCGATATGCTTCAAAGTTTTTGACACTCCTGCAAACACAATTATAACAACAACGCGTTAAGCACAAGCAACGGTAAAAAATGGCACAACTTTCATTTCGCTCGTTTCGGCACCTTAACAAAAACAACAAAAAATTTAACAATAACAACAACAGCAGCAGCAGCAGAGGCAGCAGCAGAAGCAACAGCAGAGGGAACAGCGGCAGCGCCAGCAGAAAGGCATACGCACATACACATATACGCATACACACACAGATAGGAGTGCAGTCGCTCTCACGAGCCGAAAAGTAGGCAATATTGAAAGTTGCGCGCGTTTTTTCGTTATTGTATCGCAACAGTATTTGCCTTTGCGCTGCTGTGGGAGAGCGGCAATTTGATAGAGCGGGGGAGTATGGCAGGGGTTGGTGGACAGTGCAAATAGGTAGGGAGAGGCAGAGAAAGAGTGATAGTGAGTGAGAGAGGAGAGTTTTGAGTTGTAAGCTTGTGAGCTTGGTGCCATTCTTGTGCGCTGCCGCTTCGGTTTTTATGCCGAGTGCTGAACTGCGCTGATTTGCCTCCTGTTGCTGTTGGTGTTGGTGAAGCCGCTTCTGCCGCTGCTGCTCTGCCGCTGCGCCGTTTTTCAAACGAACTGTTTCGGCGTACGTTCAGCCGCAAACTGAGCCAGCGAGCGTCGAACGGCAGCAATTTAAACACCGCGACCCGAGCATGGCGACTCCAAGCTTTTCGTATATCCGCTAGTCGTTAGCAAAGACGCAGAGCTTCAAAAAAGCTCTCGGCGACTGCATTCTGCACAACGCACGACGCCGACAACGCTGCTGCTGCTGCTGCTGCCGCTACTGCTGCTGCTGCTGCTGCTGCTGCTGCTGCTGCTGCTGCTGCTGCTGCTGCTGCTGCTGCTGCTGCTCTGCTATCGCTGCGGCTGCCTCTGTTGGATCAACGTATTGCAGCAAATGCTAAAATACGAAGCTTATCAAACACAACAGCAATACGAATGGCAGCCCATATACCGACCAATGGGAGTCCACGAAGCTGACGAATGCCGACTTCGTGTCTTCCATTGCAGATCGCAGCTAATATAGAAGCGCTGCGATGCAACTTTAGAAATCGCTNTAGCAAAGACGCAGAGCTTCAAAAAAGCTCTCGGCGACTGCATTCTGCACAACGCACGACGCCGACAACGCTGCTGCTGCTGCTGCTGCCGCTACTGCTGCTGCTGCTGCTGCTGCTGCTGCTGCTGCTGCTGCTGCTGCTGCTGCTGCTGCTGCTGCTGCTGCTCTGCTATCGCTGCGGCTGCCTCTGTTGGATCAACGTATTGCAGCAAATGCTAAAATACGAAGCTTATCAAACACAACAGCAATACGAATGGCAGCCCATATACCGACCAATGGGAGTCCACGAAGCTGACGAATGCCGACTTCGTGTCTTCCATTGCAGATCGCAGCTAATATAGAAGCGCTGCGATGCAACTTTAGAAATCGCTGTCGCTGTAGCCTACCAACGCAAATTCGATGTCGCGTGTGTGCGTGAGTGTGGGGGATGCTTACCTGAAAGATATACGAAAAGAGAAACATTATGACTGCAACTGCAACGGCATACAGCAATTTAATAATTTAATAGAGCTTATAGAACTTTAGCGAAAATGGCTTCAATATGAAGCTTAAATAGCGATGCCCATTGAGGAAGTGACAACTAGAGAAAAACAAGAAAATCTTCTACACTTATTTCACTCATATTATTATAAATTCGAGAACTTGGAAATCTCTTGAGGAATTCAATTGTTGAAGCATTTACAAAAAAAAACTTGAATCTTGTTGACTGCAGCGAACCAAATTCTATTAAAATAATATTAAATATTGCACAAAGGTTTTGGTTGCACTTAACGGGAATCTGAAAAATGTATAACCTATATCTAAACAGAAATTACAGGTGAAAATTATTATTTAATAATTTAAAAATCAATAATAATATGAATCAACTCATTTTTCTTTACTACTTACTTTCTGGAAAACTATAAAACTTCAAAAGATTTTCATCTCGGAAACAAAGTTGGAAAATCTTTGCTAATGCATTCAAGTGCAGCAAACGGAACTTATTTCCTTTTTTTTTTTAGGTAAAATTAGGTACAATTACATATTCGAAATCTATGGAAAACTTTGAAAAAGCTCCAAAATATAAACTTTGTGATGGGCAAATCATTTCGTATTAACTTTTCACAATTTAAAAAGATTAACTTTATATAAATGTTTGCTAATTCACGTTTTCCCTAGAGTTAAACTTTTTAATTTAAATTGTATAAATATATTAAAGTATA